TAAATGGCATGAGAATTCTTTTGTAATTTTATTAAATCTGACTTGTGTAAAGAGACCAGCAACTGAAGATGATTTGCACATGCTAATAGATTATATGTTATAGCAGAATGTTGCTTTATATTGCTCCTCCAGCAGCTGCAGTCTCAAGTATAGTTATTACTAGCTCCAGTATTACCCAGTTTTTTTTAAATTATCAAAAGAAGTTCATGCTATTGACTCATTACTCGTATACTTATTCTTATTGAAAATCACTAGATCTAATTCTATCGGTTTCCTTCCTGATTGAAAACATTTGAACCTAGAAAGCATAGTGTTTCTTAAGACATTTGTAACTATTCATCATGGATATTAAAATTACAATCATGCTGCATTGTGTGAGAAATGATTTTTTGAAAAATCTTTACACATATGGTAAGCAGGTGACCAATGCTATCCAGGTTTGGAGATGCTGAATGTTCAAATAACTGGTATTTGAAATTTTGATGTGTATTGCATTCATTACTGAATATCAAGAATACATTTTTTTTTTTTTGCTCATATAGAGTAAGTTTAAAATGGGGTCTTTTGTGGAAGCACCCATCCTGTTTAGAATGATATAACAGATGCTGAATGTTCACATATCAAACAAAATGCCAGCTTTCTGTAGAAAAGAGGTGTCAAAAAGTTTCTTTGTACCTTTAACGCATGTGATTATGTAGTACAAAATGCAGAGTTTGTAAAATTTCTTGAATATACAGGCAAAAAAATGAATAATTCAAAACAACTCATAAGTTCTACATTCTATTGTCCCTTTATAACGCAGGCAGAAGATAGCAGTGCACTCCCAATAGAGCTGAATTTGCACAAGTTACACCTCTGAAAATGCCAGATGGTCTATGGTCTACTTTTGAGAGCTGTCACATATGTAAAGATTTGAAAAAAGAAAGACAGCTGAATGAGAGCAGTGGATCATTAAAGGGAGAGCGAGAGTCCCTAGGCATCACTTGTGTTTTAAGAAGCATTGTGTCGTTCCCATATTAGTGAGCTTTTTTTTTTTTTTTAAAGCCATACACAACTTTTACACAGTAAGGGGAAAATACCTATTTAAAGCTAAGTAGTTATGGTTTAATCAGTCAGTAAGACGTTTTTGTTCTTTATTCAAGAACGCAATCATGTTTCTGATTTGGTTTTAGTTGTACATTTACTGTAAGATTTAAGTCACATCTATGAAAAAGCATCAATGAAGTTGAATGTTAATATAACTCATATATCTAGGTTTTATCCAATTTTGATTTGCTTCTGTTTGCTTGCATCTGACAAAATCACAATGTTAAGAAATTGGATGAAAAGAAAATACTTGGTTATTGACCATAATACAAACTATACTAAAAATACTTAGGTGGCAGTGAAACGAAAATGAATGTACTATCATTTACCTGCCAACAGAAATAGATATAATTTTGAAGATTGAAATGTAGATAAATCATTAAGAATATGTTTGAATGTCACTCCGACCATACACAGTAATTTGCAAATAGTCAATTTTGATTCTAAGAATAGGTCAGATCTGTCGGTTTTAGAATTTGGTGGCAAGACCTGATTATCTTTTACCACCTCTATTTTTATTTATAGGGAATGCTTGTTACATAATAATTATAAATTGGTCTTGGATTATGGAATATGACAGGGCAGTTTTGATTGATAAGTCTCCACAGCATTGGTCAATAACATTTCAACTTAACCCAGCTCTCAATTGCTTGAATTATTCTTTTCAGAGAAGAAGTCGTCCAAAACATTCCATTTATTTGGTGAGATTACTGGAAAGAGCTCTGAAAAGAACACCAAATTAGGTTTAACTATCTTCTTTGGCATCCCGTTAAATACATATGCATAACTGGTTTTATGTTCAATAGCAGTCATTAGGATGTCATTCTAGTTGATACAAGAAGTTACAGGAGCAGCAAATTAAATCTCTAGATCAAATGATTACACACCCATAAGAAATAGATCTCCTTTTGCAAAAGCCTTGATTGTCTATTTTAGCTTTGAGAAGGACATATATAGCTGCTAAGCAGAGAAATAACCATTTTCTTTGGTTTTTCTTTGCATCAGAAGTTAGGAGGAAAACAAAACATTTTGATAAATTTTACAGCCACTACTCTGTGCTATTCCCAAATATTAAATGTTTAGATAGTTATTCTCCTTTGTCACTAAAAAACTGATTAGGAGTTCATATATTAGTTTTATAAATTGGGTATTAACATTAATAAACTTGGCTTGAAAGGATGCTTTTGTTAAGTAAAAGAATAATGATAAACTTTTCTTACAATGTGTACATTCATGAGGAATAAGAGTCTGGGATGTTAAGATATTTTTCCTCAAGAGACATAGCATATGTGAATAAGAATGGAAGTAAACAATGTGTGCTAAAGACTTGTCTAATTTGTCAAAAATATTTATGAAGTCTTAGGTAGTCCCGAGATAACAGATAATTAGTCCATTTTAGCCATTATCAGTTCTATGTATAACTGTTACAGTTTTGTGTGCTATACTTATTTCTAAGTCGAAGACCTCTTAGTATTCAGATTTAATTAACATTTCATAACTGTTCATAATCTTAAACAGAAAAGACTAATTAAAACAGCAGCTTTGGATTTTGAAATTCCAGGAAATGATAAAATAGTAAAATTTGACACCAGATGGTTTTTGCTGTTGCTGTTTTTTTTTTTTTTTGCTGAAATGCTATGATTGATAACTCTGCTTAGGAACTATACCAGCAAGATAAATGTTGATTTTAAGAATTCATTACTTAACCAATGTAAATAGATAACATTTGGGGGGAGATCAGGACTCTTGGCTTCAAAAACCAGAATCCATTTTAGCTAATTTAAATAGAAAATATTTATTCGTAGCATATAGACTCTCCCAGGAGTTTTACAGCCAAGGATCATGCCCCCCAAATGGGTGCTTTCCTAATGAAAACAGTTACTACTATTGCATGCTTTGCCCACTGATCTGCTCGGAAGTGGACCCCAGACACTGCACCCACTGCCAAGATCAACAAATGCCTTCTCTACTGTCTGTGCTGAGAGGCTCCACCACCCGGGTGTGGCTGCCATCTTGCATCTGTGCTTCTGCATGTGAGTTGTGCTTCTGCTTGGTAGAATGTAAGTTACATACGTGCCCTCTAACTTGAGGAATGTAGGGATGAGTTAGAGGAAGTTTTCAAAATCTATGAGGGTCTTTAGAAATGCTGAGCAGCATAGATGATCACTAGTCACTGTGCTTGTTTTGTGATTTGTTGTCCAAAGAATCAAATTAGTTTTCCCTTTTTAGTGTCACACCAATAAAATATTATTTTATATTTTTCTTTTAAATTCTTCATTTATAGACATTGAAAACATCTGAAATTTCTTTGTATCAGAGATAGATACGTTTGCATTTGCATGCACAAGTATTTTGGTGACTTGCTCTCCTGTCGCACTGGTTTGTGTCTATGTCTGGACCAGTGCCATACTGTCTCAGTTCGTGTGTGTGCGTGTGCATTCAGTCGTATCTGACTCTTTGCGACCCCGAGGGCTGTAGTCCACCAGGACTCTGTCCATGGGGTTCTCTGGGCAAGAATACTGAAGTCGGTTGCCGTTTCCTCCTCCAGTGGATCTGCCTGACCCAGGGATTGAACTCACCATTCCTGCATTGGCAAGCAATCTGCTGAGCCACAGGGAGAGCCCACTCTCTTAGTTACTGTAGTTTCAAGATAAGACTTTTTATCTAAGTCAAATCCCACAATCCTCTTTTTCTTCCTTAAAATTTCCTTAGTGATTTTTGACTACTCTTACTTATAAAATTTTGGATCCATTTGTCAAGTTCCACAAATAAGCCTTTTAGAATTTTTATGGGAATTGCATTACATAAATTGGGGATAATTACCATATTACCAGAATTAACATAATCTTTCATTTTTTAGGTTTTTTTTTTTAATGTCTTTCAGTTATGTTTGGTCAGTTTCGCCATAGAATCTCTTCCCCCTTTTTCCTATTAATTCCTAGATACTTATAGGCTTTTTTGTTTGTTTGTTGGCTTGTTTCTTTTGTCGTTTCTGTAAAGAGTTCAGTTCTTGCATATTTGCTAGTTGCTTACTGTTGCCTTATAGAACTTCACTGAATTTAATATGGTTTATCATGTATACATCTTGCTAAATTCTTAGTTTTGCAGACTATATAGTCTCTTAGATTTCCCCTGGAATATTCAATTATGTATCATCTCAAAAATGTTTCTTCCTTTCCAGGACTCAGGCATGTTTTTCCTTCTTGGTATTCATTGCTTTTGCCAGCGTAGTGTCACGTAAGAGGGTAAAGGTGGGCATTCTTTCCTTGGTCCTGCCCAAGCAGGAGCGCTTCTGCAGGACTGACTTTAAATTTTGATAAATGTGTTCTATCAGACTAAGGAAGTTCTCTTCTGTTCCTAACTTGCCATAAATGGTTTATTTTAAAATTTAAAAAAATATGGAAAAGATTTTCTTCAAAATTTAAAGTGGAATTAAAAAGAAAACAATGCAACACACTGTCTTATCCAGCTTTGATGCTTGAATTCATTGTTCCTTTCCTTTTATCTCAAAAGGCAATTGAGTAGTTTATCATTATCAGGGATACTCAGATAATATTGCAGTGTCTGTGGCACCCAAAATAGGACCTGGGACTTAGCTGGTGAATGAGTTTTGAATTACATTTTGCAGATTTCCAACTTAAATTTACTTAAAGAAAAAAGAAGCACTGTTTTTTCCTCTTCTTTTTGTTTCCCTTGTGTAAAGTTACTCTTGATGACCCCTTCCCATTTCTCTTTTAGTAATTATGCTTTCTCTATATTCATATTTATTTGTGTGTCCCTCCCCTACCCCCCCATTAGGATCATGGGTGAAACCCAAGAAAGTCTGTTACTGATTGGATTTTGTTTATTTTCAAATACTCATGTTTTTAACTGGATAAATATTTCCTGTTTTTCCTTTTTTTTTTTTAACTTAGCCCAACCTCAGCGCTTGCCTCAGCTTCAAACTGCGGCGCAGGAAAGTGAAGAGGAAATCAGCAAGATAAAGCACGGCCACCCAAGTCTGAGCAATGGCAATGGAATCCACCACGGGGCCAAACATGTATCTGCAGAGAATCGAAGACTTTCAGCACCCGTGTCTCAAAAAATGCATAGAAAACTTCACTCCAGCTTGTCTGTAAACAGTGACATCAGTAAGAAGAGTAAAGTAAATGCTGTCTTTTCCCAAAAGACGGGCTCTTCACCTGAAGGTAAGTGTGATGCATATGCATGTTTTACTTGACCAGATGCAAAATCATATCCACTAAGAATTATTTGATCAAGCAAATGTATGAAGAATGTTGCTCTGCCTCCAAACAGGAATTTTGGTAAAATGCAACTTCCCCAAAGGAAGGCCCAGGCTATAACGGAAGCATTGGCAGCTCACATCCTGCTTTTAGATTGTCTTCTGGAGTGAACAGTCATAACTTTAAATATAGCTGCTATACTTCTTTTTAAACCACATTTAAAAATATGTATACCATGTTTTGGTGGAATATGATTGTATATATTTTTTCAGTCCCTGATTCAGTATGTAAATCTCTGATTCAGAGATACCTGCTTGTGTTTTTGTCTTGCAGTTCAGTTTTTAAATAGGCAAAACTAAAGCAAAAATTTGGTAATTTTCATGCTCTTGATTAGAGAAAGGGCTAGGTGAACTCTTGCTTGACCTACTAGCACCTTCCAGTTACCAGTGCTGTCAAGGGCAGCGCCCCTCACCCAACTCTGCCTTGTTCCAAGCTCATGGTGGTCTGGCCTCTAGATCCTCCCTTAGAGGCACTGGGCTGTGTTTTTGACCTCTCAAGAATTAGCAGTTACCTCATTAATGAAATACTATGAAGCAGGAAAAGTTTTCCTTTATTATAGCACCAGCCCATCTGTTGGCATTGAGTTTATAACCTACAAACTCCTTTTATAAAAATGACTTGTGAATTTATGTTAAAAAATCACTTTCCCTCAAATTCAAGGTCCCGAATTTCTCTCAGCATATATGTATATTTCTCTGCTCTTTCTCTTCTCCTTTTAGCAGTGTGTGTGTGTGTGTATGTGTGTGTTATATATATGTAATACAAATATTTTTCTTATTCACCTTTCTATTTAAATTATCATGAAATCTTAAATAAAGGAAATTCTGGGGATGCTTCTGTGGAGTTGGCCATGCTTATTCATCAAGATAAATTGAGTTGTAAATAGGAAATTGTATCGAGAGTTACTAGTCATGAGTGGGAGAAAGGATATTACATTTTGGCTACAGGTGTCTCAAACTCAACTGAGGTAAAGTGTTAGGTTGATCAAATGATATGATAATAAATGGTCTGCATAGTTCCAGGTCAGTGACACTACTTTCCAAACTAATTAGATTGAAAAGGACATGATTGACACTTTAAAATGAGTTTGACATGTAAGCTGCATGGTCATCTCTGAAGCATAGGTAGGCTGTTAACTAAACTGGCTCTCTAAGGAGTTGGGAAGGCAATGCAATTTTCTTTAGAGGATCTTTGCTTCTAGGTGATTGGGTGAAATAATTGAATGCAATTGAAATCTACTTGTTTTATACATTTGACTTTTCCTATTGTACTCCTAACCTCTAATTTTCCATTTGATATTTACTGATTTTAAAGAATGGTAATATTTGCATGGCAGTCCAACTTGAAATAGCTTATGGAGTTTTATATATTTTTGCTTATTTTTTAATACCATGTCTGAATTTATTTCTAATGGAAGAATGCAGCTTTTAACTAACACATGAAGGATGAGGAAAACCAATAGCACGTAAATGAAATAAAATTCTTCTCTCCTCCCTCTCTCCTCTTCCTGCTTTTTCCCTCTCATGTTCCTCTTCCCCTCTCACCCACACATCCTTATGGCTGCTGTGGATAAGGGTGGATAACGGTGTNTTTGCTTATTTTTTAATACCATGTCTGAATTTATTTCTAATGGAAGAATGCAGCTTTTAACTAACACATGAAGGATGAGGAAAACCAATAGCACGTAAATGAAATAAAATTCTTCTCTCCTCCCTCTCTCCTCTTCCTGCTTTTTCCCTCTCATGTTCCTCTTCCCCTCTCACCCACACATCCTTATGGCTGCTGTGGATAAGGGTGGATAACGGTGTTGATAAGGGAAGTCCCTTGTAATCCTTCTCTTATCACAAAATCTGTTCCATATTGGATTAGGGGAATGAGGAACAGCAAACACCAGTGGAATTGTCTGAGTATATTTTATAATGTCCTGCCCACTTATTTCACTGCTTTGCTATGCAATTTAACCTGATAGAACGTTTCTTTGTGATTACTTGATTTAAGATGAAAATTCCACTATATTTTCTCAAAGATAGACATTGCCCTGCTTTTTGCTGCTATTTAAGGTTGTACCTTCAAATTTTGTTTCTTCTGGCCTTCAGTTTTGAAGGTAAGTTTGTTCTCTGGGACTGCCTTTTTTTTTTTTTTTTTTAAAGAAAATGCTTTGGATTAGAAACTGAAAAAGAAGTTGGTTTCAGTTCCAAGATTCTGTGGTGCTTGCTTTAGAGCAGAGCTGCTTTGTTCTCAGAGCAAGTTTTTTGCTGTATAGAATATGTGAATCATGATGAGCAGAAATCTAATGTCTGTGGAATAAAACAATGGCAGAATTTTTTTTTTAATTTAAAAAATTTATTTCAGTTTATTAACATATAATTGATTTACAGTGTTGTATTAGTTTCAGGTGTACAGCAAAGAGATTAAACATACATATTCATTTTTACATTTTTATCTATTATAGGATATTACAAGATATTGAGTATAGTTCTGTGGACTGTATAGAGTAGGTCCTTTTACCTGTTTCTATATAGTGTGCATATCTTAATCCCAATTTCCTAATTTATCCTTCCCCACCTCCTTTCCACTTTCATAAGTTTTTCAAAGTCTGTGAGTCTATATTCTGTAAAGTTAATTTCTATCATTTTCTTAGCTTCCACATAATAAACAATATCATGATATTTGTGTTTCTCTTTCTGACTGACTTCACTTAATATGAGAATCTCTAGGTCCATTTATGTTTCTGTGAATACCATACTTTCATTCTTTTTGCAGCATTATTTTATTATTTTTTATTACTGAGTAATAGTTCTTTGTATGTATGTGCAACATCATCTTTATCCATTCATCTGTCAATAGACACTGAGGTTGCTTCCAGGTCTTGGCTACTGTAAATAATTTTGTTAAACAGAGACAGCATTTGGATTTCTGGAGGCCTATATGTGAGAACAGTCAGTCTTGAAGAGGCCTGATTTGTGATACTGTTAAAAATGGATAGAAATTATTTTTTTTAAAAAGTTTTAAGTTTACATTGTTAATGCCTATTCATACAGCAAAATGAGCTGTATTTGCTGAAATGGTATTTGCTGAAAACCACAAAAATACCTAATCTTGCCTGGTCTGGCAATGTGCTTTTTTTCTGGATAAACAGTGTTTGTGGTTATGATTTTCGTATTGCACATAAACAACAGTGATAACCCGAGAGGCATTTTTCTGGTTCAGATGATGAAATTAAATGTATAACTATTTCATAGTGTTTCATTAAGGGCTGCTTTGCTGACAGTTTGGAAAACACTGCTATGATGTGAGCCCATTGCTAATACAGAGGTACAGATTGACTCAGCCTTGCAATTGCATCAGTGAGTTGGTGACATCTTTTCATATGTCTTTAATGTGGATTTTTAAGGCTTCAGGACAAAGAGACATGGGTTCCATCAGATTTCTCTCTTTAAGCTATGTTGATTCAGTTATGAAGATTTGTACCATAGATTATTCTATGTATTAATCTACATAACTTTTCTACCTGCTTCATGCTTATGAAGTCATTTAATCCTCCCAACAGCACTATAATTCTATGAACTGTATGTAATTATTTAGTTATAAATGAGAGAACTGAGGCACACAGACATTAAGTGAACACACCAAACTCAATTAGTGCCTGATAGAAATGAGGTTCAAACCTGGATCATTCTGGCTCCATGGTATATCCTCGACACCACTGTTTTAGTTTGCCTTAAAGCTCTCTGAGGAAAAGGTAATTTACTGGCCTTTCCAACATCACGTGGGATGTTGATATCATTCCAGCTGTGGATCAGGCAAGGATCTTGTGATTAGTATACATTTGCCTTCTTTAAACTCTTCCAACTAAAATTTTGAAAACAATTTTCACACCTGTGTTCTGTGTCCATTTTCCTTCCCTGCTAGACTGTAAATTCCTGAAGAAGCTTGACTGGGTCTGAGTCGAAATGTTTTTCTTAAATTTACAGTCATGCCCAGTACAATAGCTTCATTGTTTTCCCTGAGTTAATAAGTGATGCAATGTTTTATTCCAAACCACCTCCATGAAACTAGCACTGAAAAGTAAAATATGTGCTCATATTCATTTAAAATATGTTCTTTTAAAAAGCTCCTTTTATGCAATAGAGAGAAAAAAACCCATGTGGAAAAACACATTTTATTTGAATATTATTAAATTAGATTCCTACTTGTTTGTATAATTAAATATTCATATATACATTACTTCAATTTCTTGATGGTATCACCCAGGTAGAGACTTTTTAAGACATTTAAGATTCTTGACCTTTGAAATAATTATAGTATAATTTAGAATCATATAATATTCAAATTGCTAAAAGCTTTCATTAGACTCAAGATGATTTTGTCCTTATCATAGGAATAGTAAATCCTAACACATGTGTGCCAACTATAGCTATTATGATTTTGTAAAAATTTAAGTTTCAACAAAGATCCTTTGAGGAGATTTTATACTTTTTAGTGATATTTGCTATTTAACATTTCATAGGGGGCTTCTCTTGTGGTTCAAATGGTTAAGAAAAAAAAAAAAGGAAAAAATATGCCTGCAGTGTAGGAAACCCAGGTTCAGTCCCTGGATTGGGAAGATCCCCTGGAGAAGGACATGACAACCCACTCCAGTATTGTTGCCTGGAAAATACCACAGGCAAAGGAGCATGTCAGGCTACTGTCCATAGGGTTACAAAGAGCTGGACATGACTAACACTTTCACTTTCATACTGAAACATAGATTAAGTACTTACAGAGAAATTGCATATCTAGTCCTGGCAGTTCATTGAATATAACTGTTGAACAGGAGAGTCAGGAGCATCATATGCATGACAGTACTGAGGATCGGTCTTATTTTAAATCAGAGAGGCCACACAGCCTCTGTGTGGTCAGAGCACAGACTCTAGAACCAGTCTGCTCAGTTCAAACATTGGCTTTACCAGTGGCCCATGATGTGTCCTTGAGTAGGTCAGTTAACCTCTTTGTACCTCAGTGGCTTACTGTAAAATAGGGATATAATGTCACCTGTATCATAGGATGGTTGGAAGAGTATTTGAGTTGATATTGCATTCAGTTTTAGTTCTAACAGAGCCTGGCCTGAATGAAGTACTTGGATGCTGTTATCATCATCATCATGAAGGAGTACACAGGGAAGGAAGGGTCAGCAGTGTCAGCTTTCTAGACAAGGTAAAGCCTGGATGGAGACCTGAAGGTTAAGAGAAGGTAAGGGAGTTGAAAGAGGCATTCAAAAAGACTGCAGGGGGCTTGTGAAATAAGGTGTTTTGTTCAGAGAACCACTAAGTACTTTGCTGCTGAGGAGTCAAATTAGGAGAGGTGAGACTGGAAGGGATCAGTCCATAGGCAGCCTGGGAAGTCCTGTTCTAATGTAGCCAGATACTTATGATTTCTCTGAAGGGTATCAGTTTATGCCCACTGCATATTTTTTTTTGAAACATTATATTTATTTTCTTTCCATGATACAGAAATTCCATAGTTGCAATTATGTAAATCCAGAATACTGCTATAGAGTAAAGTACTGCTATATAGTAAGCATCTGTATTCTGATCACCTGTATGATCTTTCTGTATTTTAGTAGTGAACTATTACTAATAGATAAAATGAGGAATTCGTTATAGACTTGGTGAACTGGGGATGCTAACAAGTTATTCAGGAAAGCTTTGGACATCTATGGATGGACGTCAGCCCAGTCGTCTCCCATTTTACTGGTACCCTCTGCTTGTCTTTAAGCTAGCCTCTGGACTTCTTGCCTTTATGACTCTTCTCTGTCTTGTTTAGACTCTTCTTTCTCCCCTTTTCAGTGTATTTCTCCCTGCACCGTATCATGAGTAGGAAGAGGACAGCCATGACTCTGGGAGGCAGTCTGGGTGGGGCACACAGGCTTCAAAGGAGATGGACACAATTGAGCAGGTCAGCTTGAAAAGCCCACTAGGTGATTCAAATAGGTTCCACCCCCTCCTTCCTTGAGAATCACTGGTAAAAATATCTTTCCTTGACCTCACCACTTCCCCTTCTCTCCTTGCACTTGAAATTGTGCCTTCAACTGCAAGCACACACATTTAATGACATAGCTGACTGACTTTGCCACTTCTCTTCCTTATATTTCTTATAATTTACTTCGCCTTCATGACCTTTCCATTTTTTTTTTTTTTTTTCAGAACTCAAGCATCATCTCCTGATGCCCCAATTTTGGGCTGATTGCTCTTCTTTTGGGTCCCCACAGTGTCTTCCAAATACAAAATGAGGCTGGAGTTTAACTCTTTTTGCACTAAAATGTAATCTCACTGAAGGCAAAGATTTGGTTTTATCCATCTTTTAGCTTCAAGCACAGAGCCTAGTACCTGACTTATCATAACTATTTAGTAAATGATGAAGCAAGTAAGGGACATAAATTGGAGAATGCAGGCACTCACTGTCTAACATTTCACAGACGTCATAGTTGATCTCTCAGAAATCACTGCAATCCTCAAGGGAGATTGTATGGGAAGGTTGAGGGGAGTGCAAATGTTTGAACTAAAAGAGGCCAAAAAAAAAAAACAAACTTCTAGAAGTACTAGTACTTTAGTGGAAGGATAATAATAGGACTTCATGATCTGACTATAACATTATAATCTGAGCCTCCAGAAACAAATTTTCTGTGACTTTGGCAAGATATATTGCTGTGATCCTCAAAATACTTCATTTGCTTGGATGATGTTTTGTTTTGTTTTCTGCGGCACAGTGCCTTCCATTCCATGTCAGAATAGTTGTGTGGGAGAAAGGTTTAGAATTCTGCTTTCTGATGCAATATTTGCCAGTCCATTGGAAAATAGTATTTTAATAATTTTCTTTTCTCAACCAGCAAGCTAATTGAAACAGTAATACAAAAAGAAGGGTGTGTGGAGAACAGGTATGATCAGAGTTGACTATGTCAAAGTATAAATCATTCTGTACATAAAAATCATTGCTTATTTACTTGAAATATTAAATCAACTGTTCTTAAAAAATTTTTAAAATTATCAAATTATAAGTGGTGTTACTTTAAGGCTGAAAGTAAATATTTAAATACATTTCCTGTTGAGTTTAGGAAAATAGGTTAACTTTGTGATCTATGATCTATAGTAAGTTATATCCATCCATTTGATGAAGAGCAAAGATTTTACAAGGTTCTAAAGTATATAATTTGAGATTTGAAACAGAAACACCTCAAAATCTCAGACCACTTCTTTTATACTAGTTGACACCTGAAAGAAGAGCTAGACAGCTCTCCACTGTGTATAGACTCCACCTTTGGTGTTGGGTTTCTGCTCTAAGAATTTGAATTAGCTTAGCACTCACACAGGAGGTGGGTGAGGAGGAAATAAAACAATGGAGATACAGATAGATTGGCCAGGAAGCATTGGGGTGTGGGGTAGCTGAATGAAAGAGGCTATCTAGAAACCCAGTTTAGTGGAAAGTATAATAGGCTAAGTGGAAAGAAGAATTGAATAACCTAATAACCCTATTAATATATCAGGGTTTTAATTTTTTCTTTGATGATGGTAAGTTTAGATGATGTTTTCATTAGGTGAAACAGTAACAGGTAAGTGCAGCAGCCAGGCTTATCGTGGATTATAGTCCATTTCAACCTCATTTTCTTTTGGGTTTCAGGATTGTATCGAGGATTCCTGGCCCAGAACTAGAGTAGCAGTCAGATTAATGCATTTAATCAGGACTGTCATTCATTGTCTAGTTCAGTTAGTTTGGAAAGGGAACTGAAATTTAGGAAATCATGAAGAATAGCTGAATATAGTTTGAGGCTGACCATGAGATGAATTTTAGACCTGTTCAATTTCAAATAATGACATACAGTCCAAGAACATTTGGAAATATATAACTGGAACTTCAGAGAAGGAGTTAAAAGCAAGCACACTAATTTCTATTAGTTCTCTTAGAGGAGATATTTGAAACCATGCATCTGGATGGGATTTCTTAAGTAGAGATTTAAGAGCAAAGGTCAGATGGCTGAGAACCGAGTGACTCAGGGATCACTGGAGGCCAGCCAGCTTGGTAGAATGGGAGTGAGGGTTTAGCTTGAGCACTGGGGAGACAATGCCGTAGAAAGTTCAGACTTTTCTCTAAAAGTGATGTCAGAGTGTGGCTATGGCACTGATAAGATAGCCTAGGGGAGAGGTCAGAAAGCAAAAAGAGGAAGATGATCTGGCCAAGAGGAGTCGATAAGAAAGGTGAGAGAAGAAACAAACTGGAGAGGGTGGTGTCCTGGATATGAGGCAATAAATGCTTTGAGTCAAGGGAGAAGCTTGCCCCAGCTATTGTGACACCTCAGTTGGATGAGAATTGAAATGATTCTGTTGATTTAACAATGTGGATGTCATTTGGTGGCCTAATTAAGAGCCATTTTTGTAGAGAAGTCAGAATGATACAGGTTGTGGAATGTGATAAAACACACTAATAACAATAGCTCTGGAAAAGCCAATGTCCAAAGACGTTTTAAGATGGAAAAGGTTTGTGTTTATATTTGGACGGAAAGGATCCAGGAGAGAGGGAAAGTTTGAAGATTTAAGAAGGTAATAATGATAACCTTGACAAGCCGGCATATCATTTCTTTAGTGGTCAGATCTAGAGTTCAGGTTATGTAGATACACATCGATTATCAAAGCATGAGAATTGAGCAACCAGAGAAGCATTTACTGAATTATTAATGTAGGTGACTCCACTCTATGGGAGTATCATTGATAATTGCTTTTTAATCATGTCTTCATACCAAGTTGGGCTTTCCTGGTGGCTCAGATGGTAAAGCGTCCGCCCACAATGCGGAAGACCCAGGTTTGATCCCTGGGTTGGGAAGATCCCCTGGAGAAGGAAATGGCAACCCACTCCAGTATTCTTGCCTGGAAAATCCCATGGACAGAGGACCCTGGTAGGCTACAGTCCATGGGGTTGCAAAGAGTCTGACACGACTGAACGACTTCACTTTCTTTCACTTTCATACCAAGTTATTCCATAAAAGTTACTCAAAAAGCATCTAACTCAAGTCCCCACTCTCCTTCATTCCAGAAGTATTAATTGCTTTTGAATGGAAGACACTGACCCAGCAGACATTTATGAATCTGAGTTCCAAATTCCTGATTTGTGTTTAGACCACAAGTTGATGGAAATTGATAGCTTCTTATAATTTAGATTGATAAGGCCCTTAATTGAATTTAATTGTAACTTTTACACATAGTATAGGACAGGAAATAGAACATAAACAAGTGACTGAAAGTCACCCAGTCATATCTGACTGTTTGCAACCCCGTGGTCTATACAGTCCATGGAATTCTCTAGGCCAGAATAATGGAGTGGGTAGCTGTTCCCTTCTCCAGGGGATCTTCCCCATCCAGGGATCAAACCCAGGTCTCCTGTTCCGCAGGTGGATTCTTTCCTAACTGAACTATCAGGGAAGCCCAAACAAGTAAACACGCAGCTAAAGAGAAGAAAAGTGTGGGAAAGATGAAGTAAGGAAATTACTGCAGAATCCCGTAGCTTAACTTTAAAATGTATTTAAAGTAAATTTGTGTTTTAAGGTGGTCTGGTGGTGGTGGTGGTGGTGGTTTAGTTGCTATAAGTCATGTCAGACTCTTTGTGACTCCATGGACTGTAGCACCACCCCCCCTCCCCCCCCAGGCTTCTCTGTCCATGGGATTTCCCAGGCAAGAATACTGGAGTGGGTAGCCATTTCCTTCTCCGGGGGATCCTCCCAAAGCAGGGATTGAACCTGGGTCTTCTGTGTTGCAGGTAGATTCTTTACTGACTGACCCACCAAGGAGGACCTTAATGTGGTCTACTCTTCACTGAATTACTGTCACAAGCAAAAGCTCTCAAAGTTAAGATCAAAATTCCAACTTCTATAAATTAATTGTGATTGTCTCTTACACAGTGATCATTTTTGGTTTGTGGGCTTTTTGAGAATCTAACAACAGTTATGATTTGCAGGTTTCTAAGGTGGTAACAAACACCTGTTAGGTCTCTTGTTATTCCTGAAGATAACAAAAGACCCCAGATACCTTCAGATGTCTTATTCTAAAATGAAATATCGCTAAGACCTAAACAGTAAAGCAGGGCATAGGTTATGGAGGGACCTAATGAACCATTTTAAGGATTTTGATTTTGGCTTGAGCAGATGATGGACATGATCTGACTCACCATTTTTAGGCGTCACCTGTCTGTCATGCCGAGTGTAGACTACAGGTACACAGTGGCCAAAGGAGGAGGGCCTGGGGGCCTGCTGTGTGACTCTTGGAGTAATTCAGATGAGAGACGACAGGGTTGGATCAGAGTGATAATAGTAAGATAGTGTTGTATATGAATGTATTTTGAAGGCAGAGTAAGATTTATTGAAGGGTGATATTTCAGTGTGAGAGAAAGACGAGGGTTAAGGATGGCTCTGGGTTATTTGGTCTGAGCAGTTGAATGTATGGGGTTACCATTAATAGAGGTGGGAAGAACAGGGTTTGGTTTTGAACAATTTGAGATGCCCATTTTCTTTCCAAGGGGTACAGTGAAATAAGTAGTTGGGTAGAGGAGTTTGAAGATGAGAGGAAAGATCTGCACCCTGAGCTGTTTTGTGAGTCATCAGAGTACAGAATGTTCAGTGGATGGGATCCCCTGGGATTGTGGTTCTCAATCCTGAGTATTGAGTAAGCACCTGGGTATCTGAAGTAAGAACTTCTGGACGAAGGGAGTACAATGTCAAATATCTTTCTGGGCACAGACCCCAGAGAACCTAACTCAAGTGGAGTGGGGCCAAGGCATTAGTACCCTTTAGAACAGGAGTTCCCAGCCTCCAGGATCTAATGCCTAATAATCTGAGGTGGAAATGATGTAATAATAACAGAAATAAAGTGCACAATAAATGTAACATGCTGAAACCACCTCCCCACACACACACCAGTCCATGGCAAAACTTGCCTTCCACAAAACCAGTCTCTGGTGCCAAAAAGGTTAGTGACCACTGCTATAGAAGTTCTCCACAAGACTCTAACAAACATGCATGCAGGGTTAAGAACTACTGCCCAGGAAGTAAAGTCGATTAGTGATCCAAGAACTGAGCTCTAGACCAGTTCAATAAGTCAGAAAATGAACAGACACTATGAAAAAAAAATGGGATGAGTAGTCAATGATGGAGGAGGAAACAATAAAGACTGTGTTTCAAGTTGGGGGGAGTGGTCATGTGTCAAATAGCAACTGAAAAGGCCAGCGAGATGAATAAGAAGTGACCATTGACATTGTCCTCTGAAGATCATTGGTGACCTTCATACTTTCGGTGTGTGATGGGAACAAAAGTCTGACTGAAGTGGTGGAGAAAATTAAAGATGGCACAGCTAGGCTACTCTCTTCAAGGGGTTTTCCTAAAAGAGAATAGTAAAAAGGCTGTGAGCTAAAAGAGAATATTTTTAGAGATGGGATATATTGAGTTTTGTTGGTAATGAACTGGTAGAGAAGTAGCTGGTGAATGATGCAGGACGAGGATGCCCTTGAGTCACTGAAGCAGGAGACCAATTAGAAGGCACCCCATCTGTAGTTACTGATATCTGTATCTACATCTCATCCCTCTCTGATTTTAGATCATTACCAGAAAGTGGCCAGCCATATTTTGAGATTATCTTTCACATTGCCTTCTTTGGTAGCTTCATACACTAAGCACTTTCTATTTATTTATTTATTTATTTATTTTCTATTTATTTATTTATTTATTTATTCTATTTATTTCAAATGACCAGTAGGATTTGACATGGTAGATTTACAGTTTTTCAAACCTTCCATCTAAAACTGTCTCATCATTTGCAATGATGTAAAATATGCTAGAAGTTTCCATTCATTTTAGAAGGACTTCAAAAAAAATTATCTCATAGTTATAATAATAGCACTAGACACTGCATAATACTACAATTCTCAAAGGAAGAAATTTTGGGGAAGAGATACAGAATGTGCAGGATGTTTGGAATCTTCTGACGAAAACTGGTTGATGACTCATGAGTCTTGTAGTTTGTGAAGTATATACACAAGAAAAATATGATACTAATTTGTCTTCAAATATTTGAGGTGACCACCTACAGGAATACTTTTATCTTAGATGCTCAGGATAAATCAAAACATTGTCCTTATGTTTTGTGCTTCACATTAGCCTAAATTTTACCACCTTAACAAAAAGTATTTTTCACCTTTTAAAAAATTAGTTCCATTTTTTGAGGATAGAATTAAATGATTTACCTCATCTGATGAACTGAAGAAAATACTGTTGGATAATTTGTATCTCAGTTCATGCCATGTAGTCTGCCTAGTGACAATCTAGAAGAGAAAATTCAAAAATTTTAAGACTAAATAGTTTTAAAGACAAAGGAATGTGAATAATTTTGATAATAGTATATTTTATAGTATTATCTACAGATACTGTATCTTATTGTTCTCTTTGGTGCTGTTATAATTTTTTTTCTTTTTTCCTAGTGCTTTGTTACTAGGTTTTTTTCTTCAGTTGCTTCCTTTGGGTGTGTGCCCCACCATACTCCCTCTACACTTAGAAGATCTAGTGTTTTATTAGCTAAATAGACACTCAAGTGTTTATGAGTTGAGAATTGTAATATTGGAGGGAAATTTGAACAAAGAATTTTTGAAAAAGGAGTCTTAAGGAACAGGAGCATGTCTAGAAGTATGTCTGTTTTGTGCACTCATCAGAGAAGCTTCATCTTTAAAGATCTGGTCTGCAAGTCCAGAATTTTGATTGTCTCATTTTGGTTATTTCTCCAAAGCACACTTTCTGTACCTCTGTCCACCTGTCTATTGATCTCTCAACACCCTGCTCTCTTATTTTTCTTTGTTTCCCTCCTGACTCATTTTATTCCCTTTGCATGATTTCATTCAACAATTTATTGCAGTTTAGAGGAACTCAAATGCCAATAATACATGACATTTTCAATAATAATGCTTTAATACTCTTTTCAGATAGTTTTATTCTTAGTTTGTATGTTTGCAAGATATGACTCCAAATTCTCTTAAGACCCAAGACTAACAATGATTTTTTTCTAGGTTGAATTAGATTCTTTCAGTTGATTATTTTCAGAGTATATAGTTACATTGCTATTTGATTTTTTTAATTGCATTCTTAAATGATGCTGCCTGAATCTTAAAACTAATTGAGGTAACACTGAAATATTAGTTTCTCTTAGAAGTTTTCTCAGTAATTTTTAATACTTACATATACTATTATCATAGTTTTGAGGACCTTTTATATTTAATTTGTATAAACCTCAACTAGTATAGTATGAAACAGGATAGAAGGGAGCTCGTGGTATAAAGTTGCCATATTTCTGAAAAAAACTTGTAAGATGGAAAGTTTCAGTTGAATACATAAGGAAGCTATGTGAAAAATGTGCTTAAGATCCTCCAGTTCAGAAGTTTTTAGCTTTGGGAAGAACCTATGACATTGATGGGGGGCGGGGGGCAGTTGGGGAGTAACCTTAATGTCAGTAACCTTTAAACTTTGAAGGAAATTCTAAATTTTACTTAATTATAGATGAAAGCAATAAACAAGTTTATGGTTATTTCAGAAATCATGAAGTATTAGTTATGTTAACCACTACTTTAAAATTGTAGTACTTATCATAATATTAAAAGCTGAGGTATAATAAATAACTGTTTCAACATAACTGGTTTCCATTGAAATCTTTTGTATTTCATTTTACACATTTAAAAACATTTTGTCTCCATGACATTGCAAATAAATAAGAATCCCTGCGCTAGTGCCCTTTGCATCCTAAGCATTCTTTGTAGTATAAATTTCTTTTTTATACTACTTTTATACTACAAGTAACATGCTTGTTTTGTACACTTACATTTCTGTGTGCATGTTGTATAAGACAGGGAACACATTTTTCTAAATAACTTTTTAATTTTTGCTCATATTAATTTAAGATATATCCAAATTTCTACTTTAAAAATTATATTAAAGACTAAATTCTTAAGTAACTGTTGTAGTTGTTTACATTTTAGTGATATTCTTTTACCAAGGCATTGTCAGCAATACCAGGGCATGGAGAAAATTAACTTTGTGGTTTTTTTTCTGCTACCGATTCAGTAATTTTAATGTAATGCTCCATAAATAGGAATGGGAGAAAACAGAGGAAAGAATCAAAGTCAACAATCTGGTGGACAGTGTGTTTCAGATTAATATTCTGAAAGGATTCTAATTTATAGGCAGCATAGTGTGGCCTCAGGCCCCCTTCCCAGCACAGATTCTTGATAACTTGTAAGGTCTTCCCTACTACTTGCACACTTGACTGAAGGGAAAACGGAAGATGTAGACATCTATCAAGTGGATATAGGAAGCAATTAGAAGAAAATAAAAGAATAATTAATAAACAGTTTGCTCAAGGAAACTAATCAAAGTTCCAATTTTGAAGGGGAAAATTCATACAAATAAATAGTAGTTGTCTCCTAAAGATTGAGAAATCCAAGAGTTTGGGGGAGATGTGCAGATAATTGAAAAAAAAAGATCAAAACGGGCTTATATCCTATGGCATATTAAACCTGCTTAAATTTCTACTCTGACTTCTCTTGGGAAATCAAATTGGAGAAACCAGACCTCTTGGGGAATAACATCCCTATACATAACATATTTAAATTTGACACTAGAAGTTAAGTTTATTTTTTCCTAATAATTATGTTCAATGAGGAATGCAGAAATTGCATTTTGGAATAACAGAAGAGTAGTTATTGTAGAAAGAATTCTTCAACATCTATGGTAGCTATCTACCATAGAAGGGTAGTCCACGCACTCTATGTGTTCTGTAGAGTAGAGTGAAAGGAGGTGGAGAACCAAAAGGAAGCTTTGCCTCAGGGCCTACAGATGAGCTTCATCAAGTCAGCAGGTCTACTGTGTTCCCAGGCTTGTGTACTGAATTCTGTACAGCCGTCCTATTTTAGTCTTTAACCTAGTACCTTTGATTACTATTGTTACTTTATAACATAGTTAGAAATAAATATGAACTAACTATGAACATACTAGCTCTCGAACCCCAGTTGACCATTTTATAATTATATATATGAGTATATATGCAATGATAATATATATACTAGTATTTTATATAAAATATAATCTATTATATATATTAAATACATACTTTAATGTAATACTATATTATATAATGTAAATATAAAATATTTAAATATATTCTATTTATATATATCTGGAATATATATGTTTGTTTATATTTGGATCTCTTGACAAATCTCCTAATTTCAGACTCTGTTATTCTCTCATACTTGCCTTTCAGAACCCCAAGTCTAGATTGTCTGTCTTTTTACCTTCTCTCTATACCAAGGAGCTGANGGAAAAAAAAAAATTACAACTACCAGCTCTGACCATCTCCCAAGTTCTAGATCAGTGTTTCAGCCACCTCTTGGGCATCTGCCTTTCAGTGTCCTCAGATTTAACTTGTGTTACATTCAAAATATTTTAAAGTGAACTATCTCTGTGTTTTTCTCAGTAAATGGCTCCAGAGCCAGGAAGTCACACTTGACTCTTTTCTTCTTGTTACTGCCTCCTAGAGCGTCTTATCAACTCCTTCTGATCTTACCTTCTTATTCCTCACAGCCATCCTGCCTGACCCCACTGACACTATATTACTACCACAGATGCTGTCCCTGCCTCTCCATTTTTGAAATGGAAAATTTAAACTTTCTACCTGGTTTTCCTGCTCCAACAATAGACAGCGACTTATCTCTAAAACGATCACATTCTTGCCTCTGTTTCTTTACATAGCCTCCCCACTACCTGGATCCACCTTTGCTTTCTCTCCACCTAACATGCCCTCTGACCATCCTGCCCTGGGACTTAGCCAACTTAGACTCAACTTGTATTCAGCACCAGTTAACTTTCTGCTCTGCTTTGACTGCTTAACTTTGACTGCTCTGCTTAACACTGCTTTGTGTTAAACCTAGCAGTACCTTTGGTCCAGGCTAAGACAAGACCCTGAGCTAGACTTTGGAATCTATTGTCTATAGATAATAGTATATTATATCATCATAGGAACTTAGCATTTGAAAAGAATTTGGAGATCATTCCCCGCCTCACTGTACGCATATGGACACTGAGTGAAATACTTGTTCAAGGTTGTGTCACAGAACCTAATAGTGACAGTTAAGTCTGTCAACTGACTGGAAGACAGGCTTTCATTTTCCAGATCCTAATAAACAGGATGATGCTTAGCTGTGCTACTCCTGAAGATAGCAAAGTAATTATAAAATGAAACATCTTTGCTTCTATGCCCCCAAGAATGTCATTTCCTGTAGCTAGAAGCCTACTCAAAACCAAACATACAAACAGCAACAGCCACCACAGACACAGCACTTCTTTTGGTAGTTCTGGCATTTACTGCCTGAACTGTCATAGTAGGAATGAGCTGTGGTGCAGGAAAACCTCAACTAGGGAGTGGCCGTGATGAGGTGCAGAGGATTAGGAAGTAACTACGTGCTGAAAAGAGAATTTTTATATTCTTTTGTACAATTTAAAGTGTTATAAAAAGGCTGCAGATTTTTTTTTTAATTAGAAAACTAGGCTTATCTACTCTTGTCAATTAGAGAGTATCGCAAACAATGTGATCATAGATTTTTCTTGGCTCTGGAGTTGTTTATACACTAAATTAAGGTAGAAGTATTTATACCTTATGATTTCAGTGTTCTGCTGCCCTGTTCCTCTTTGACTTGTGTTGGTGTTTTAAAAAAAAGAATTCAGATGATATTGAGAGATAACATGGGTGGAGAGAGCGCACGATGTGGGAGGAGGAACAATGCCATCATTGATTCACAAATTAATTCCATAAATAACAGGATTCACCTCCTGCGCACAGCTTTGACATGTGCTTCGGTGTCTCATTTTGCCTGAACGTGTTACACTTCTTGTTCCCCTTCACCTTGCCTGCAGTGTCTGTTGGACTGCTGTGCCTCTGGTGGGGGCCTGGCTTCGCTGTCAGGTCTGGGAGCACACCCTGGGCCTTCAGTGAGGCTCACCCTGCCCGTGTGAGGCCTGCGTGTCCTGCTGGGATGCTGCCCTGCCTCCATAGGGGCTGCTGGGGCCCCTCGGCCCTTTGGACCCTTGTTAAGGAGCACTCAAGTTGCTGAAGTGTTGTTGTGTCTGGCCCCAGTCCTGCGGATGTTGTCAGCGTCCCCCTAGTGTGTTCGTTTACTCCCACACTGCCACAAAAACCTCACATCACATAGCCAACCCTGGGGGTTCTCGAATAGCCACTGATACTAGCCTACAAATATTCCAGATGGGGAGTACTGATTCCAGA